GAGTTTTTTAAATAATTTAAATATCACAATGAACAAAAGAAAAATCTTTTTTTTCTCCTATAAATAGTTATAGATGGTGTATTCTTGTTAATATACTTAGCATTTTGATAAGCAATTGGAATAACTATATTTGTATAAGAATTGCTTAAAGTAAACATAAAAATTTCTAATATGCATTAGCAACTATAAGTATGCCACATCTCATAAAAACCAAATGTTCTAGTACTTTGCTAATTCCATAGGTTACTACCTAAATGTTATAAAACAAAGATGTATTTTTAATTTTATTGCTTATCACAATTTTAGACACCTCTATATCATCACAACCACTTTATCAACTGAATAAATAAAATAAATTTAACAACAACACAGTTTTGATATTAACAACATCATACAATATTTCTTGATGTTATGTAACATTTTATAAAAGTACAAGAGATTAACTATTTCTTCAATAATGATGTCTAAATTCTGTGGCAATTTTTTTTTAAATCTTTCAAATAATTTTTTAATATATAAAAATAAATTATACTATATCAAAAAAAACATAAATATTATCTTTTATTGCAAAATATTGTGAATGAACATATTTAGATGAAGTTTTTTACATCAAAAGCTTTTTTTTAAGAAGTATATATGTTCAAACATACCTGATTTAAAATGGTAATAAATCTACATTTAGTTTTCATTTTTAAAAAAATAAAAAAGAACTGAACTTATATTTATAATTTTTATATTTTTAACTTAAATTTTAATAAGAAATAATAAATTAATTTAGTTCATGTCATTACTTTAATAAGATTTTTTCTATTTCATGCTTTGAAGCGAGCTCAGATTGGTACGATAAAAATAAAGTTTATTTCATCTGTTGCAAAAAAAAAAAAAAAAAAAAAAAAAAATCAAAATTATTTCAGAAATTAGATGAGCATATACACAATAAAGTTTGTAGTTTCAAGGAAGTATCAATTGAGATATAATTTGCAATTAAAAATGTCTTTATGACTTTTTAAAGATATGAATAAACATAAATTTTCTAATTATGTGACAACATAAATAGAATTATATTTTATGATTTGTATGGTTTAATATAAACCAATACTCATGCTTATTTCAAAGAATGATATATAAGTAGTTAGTTATCTTTAGATTTTATTGGATGAAACTGAATTTAATATTATAACTCATAAAGTTTTAACGATGCAATTATACAAATAGTGTATTAATGATTCTAATAGCCATAAAATTTCAATATATATATATATATATATATATATATTTTAATTTGCTAATATTTAGAAATATTAATTAGTATACTAAAAATTAAATAAAAGTAAATTTTTAAAGATTTTCTAAAGCAATTTGATGTATCAAAAAAAATTTAAATGGCACAATTTTATTTTTAATTATTTTTTAAGTTTTATTTTTTATTTTTTATTATTTTGTAAGAAATTTAGAACAATAATATTAACTGATTGTGAGATGTAATATGTTTTATATAATTTTTTGTAAAATATCAATGCATATAGGAACTAATAACTATTCATATGGAAATTACTTTTAAGAGAGTAATAAAATATACATATTTTATTTTCACTATTTACTTCAAAACGTTTGCCTCTCTATTACATGTATAAAGTAAAACCTTATATTTCTACTAATTTCTGGGTGCTCATTTTAAACTTTGTGATTGGAATAAAATAAAACTTTTATCTATAAATTAAATATATAAATTTAATGTAAATGACATCATTACCAAATACTTACTAAAATGACTTCGATTTTCTCTCTTCTTTTATTTTTGGCCCACTTAAATTTTTTACATCAGAAAAAAATCTCCATTCCAAAATAAAATCATTTGGAAGGATTTTATAATTTTCAAGCACAATTTATTATATATTGGAGCTATTATAATGGTTGCATACAAATAAAAATTAAATGAGCTCTTAAAGTACCAGGTTTTACATATATATATATATATATATATGTATATATCATGAACTACATACGTTTTAATTTTTTTTCTTAATCTTAAATATCATGGAATGTAGACAGTCATAACTAAAATCTTATTTGAATTATTTCACTGTAATGTAGTTTATTTAAAAAGACACAAAATAAAATTCTACCTTTGGAGTTGACAAATACAACCGAAATATTCTTTCAAGAGTATAAAACCAGTTATTTGTTACACAAAATACTGTATGTATATATACTCACTTGACTAATGATTTGATCAAGTTAATGTATGTGGTCTATTTATCACAATTTCAAAAACAATTTCATGTGTCAAAATGTTTAGATTGTGCAATGTGGTTATCTCTAAGTATTTAAATTCCAAGTTTAAATGAAAGCAATATGTTTTTTTTTTTGTTGTGATTTCAAAAAAATAACTGCGGAAAAAATAAAACAAGGAAAAAAAATAACATCATTGATCATTCTCTAATGAAGGTGATTGACAGAAAGGAAATTTAACAAAACTAACTTTAATTATTACATAAATATATATCCTGGATAAAACTTTGCATCAAAATTAATATAAAAGGGACAGTTTTTGTAAGTGAAAAAGAAAAAGAAAAACCTTTTACATTTCAGAGGTATTTCATTTCGTCTAAAAAAAACGCATCTTCAATCCTTTAATAAGTCATAAATGAGGTATTTAACGATGATTTTGGATTTTTTATACATGCAAATTCTACAATAATTTTAATTTCTATGATGACACTACAAATTACATACGAATGCCATTTCAGCATAATATATATATATATATATATATATATATTAAAATTAAACATGAAGAATTGTACATTCATCATTTGTTTTATAGCCATCTTTGGACATATTGTGTCCAAACAAGGAAAAAGAATCTCATTTCTTAATTTAAAAACCAAAGCATGAATTGATGTTCCCCTATCATTGGACAATAAAATCCTTCACATTGTCAATGACATACCACAACCCATCTATCTACAATTTTTAGTATTTTGATTTTATTGTTTGAGCCTTGACAAAGGTTACAGAAAAATCTTTGAATTAATGAATTGACAGCTTGATTAACTGACTTAATCATTCATTTATTGTTATATTCTTCCAGTTGAGCTAAATGCCAAAACTGTCCATTGAAATGTAAATTGGATCTTTGCCCTCACCAACCAGAAGGAATTTCCTTGGGACAAGCAACACTGAAAGAGAAATATGAAGCATTGGCAGCAAATTCTTTATCCCCTTAAAATAGAGAATCTCTCCATTTTATCATTGACTCAGCCTTTGCATAGTGGGGGCATGAAATAAGTTTTGGAATAGAGCCAAATCAAGCACCCATGACCGTGTCCACCCCATGACCGCGGATGGTGTAAGTCGTAAGATCCTCTACGAAGTGGAACATGAGATAGTGTACCCCTTCCAAGACAAAGATCTTTACTTTTATTATTCTACTTTTATTTTAATTTTTATTTTACTGAATGAGAATAAAAATGAATACATTTATGTATATATGTATATGTATGTATATATATAGATAGATAGATAGATAGATGTTTATGTATGTGTGTGAAGAGAGTGTGTGGAGATGTGTGGGTTCCCAAGGTTTTGAAGTTGAAGGGTAGAACCCAACAGGACACTGTCTCATTACCCACCTCTAAAATTGGAACTTAGAATTATAATTTTATAATGATATGTTTGGTTTTTTTAACATTAAAACTAGTGGTGGTGTGGGATGGATGAGTCATGGATAATGAAGGTTGAGTCAAGCTGGCTGGCCATTTGTCTGCAGTGGTTGTTGTTGAAGGTCTGTTGTGTCACTGTGTTGTGTGATATTATTCCCCCATGGTTTTTGTGGATTTTGTGGATCAGCACAAACCCAGTTGGACTAAAAGATAACACACATGAAATCTCCACAAAACCTCACTAAAATTTCAGGGGGTCAAAAATCAGAGCTCATGCAGCAGTAGAAGAAACCTGTAGCACACATGCCACAAGGCTAGAGAAGGCAAAATAGACACATTGTGGGGCCTTGGAAGTGGCTCCCCCTTCCCCCATTCCCCAAATCTCACTACCCAACTTGGTGCACTTTGTACAGTACTTCCTTTGGTGTATTTTAATAGAATAAAAAAATCTTCTTCTCCAGGACAACAATAAGTCAGATTCTCATAATCAGCCACATGTTGCCTCCAAGCACCATCTTCCATGGGCCCAGTCTCCTGCAGGGGGTGCAAGATAAAAAGCACTGTAGACAAAGCCCTCTACAAGCATCCCATCTTTTTTTGTGCCAACGAGGAAGACAACAAAACAACCCAACAAATGGATTATGCTTTGGGAGAAGCTAGTACTTAGCCAAGGGAAAGAAAAACAGAGCAAGGAAGGAGTACCTTTCTTCAGGGTTAAGGGTTTATGATAGCTCAAAATTTAGGATGTATGGGGGTAGGATTTGTGTTTCATAGAGAGATTAGAGTTTACAGTTACAACCCATTTGTTGGGAACCCTAAACCCTGAGGTTTACACTTGCACAAGCTTCCCGAGCACACACAGAATGCGTCCTTTTACTGAGAGTGGAGAATGAGTGAATGAGCTCCACAGATTGTGAGCTGAATGAGCAAGCAAGTCGTAAAGCCTCTCACCGAGGTATCCAAGTAGTCAAAGGCCCATATTAAGTAGGGGAGGAGTAAATGGCACACTGGCTTCTCGAAGAAACCGAGGTCTTGAGCATTCGGTTATTCAAAAATAGTGCCTCGTCTTACACGTGGTGGACCGAGATCAGGGGGAGCATCGCCGGCCCGGACCGGGCTGGGTGGGACAGGTCCCCCCACCCGGCCCGGGAAAGAGCACCGAGTGAGTCCCTGTGGAGTCTCTTGAGGGTCGAAGCCGAGGCGGCCCCCTGGGCCATGGCTATGGAGGCTCTCCAAGCGAGACTTATTTTAAGGAAAGCCTGTCGCTCGCAACACGCTTCTACCATCAGTCGCGGTTCTCACCCCTTCTGCGCGAAGTACCCGTGGGCCGTTACAGGATTCTCGCCGCGCGTCGCATCTCTTTTTGCGAATCTGGCATCCTTATTTATTTGCTTATTTATTTCTCCGTTTTTGTTAACTGTGCTTTGGTTCAGAGCGCTCAGTTGTTGTTTACTCGGGAGGACGTAGGGGAGAGGGAGGGAGTGCACACGAGGAAAGAAAGCCGTGTCTGCACAGGTATATTAATGCATGACAGGATTGCACTATGATGACAGTTTGGATGTCGCGCTCGCGCGTTCGGGAAGTTGATGAGAATTGATTGAGTTCGGAGAGCAGAGCTTGACTTTTTTTTTCTTTTTTTCGTTTTTTTCTTTCTTTCTTCTTTTTTCTTTTCTCTTCAACTTTTGTGTCATCCCTGCAGAATTGATCGCGAACGGCGCTAAGAGGAGCATGTGAGAGCGCTATAAAGAGATTCTGTTAATTTTGGCGCGGAGAGATTATGAAAGGGCGGTGATTCGTCTAGCTGATAGTTTTGGTCTTTTTAGTCTTGATTTCAATATCGCTATTCGGGAGAAGTATAGATGGTGCTCCAGGATGAAGATAATGATTGCTGCTTGCGTTTTGACGATGCGGAGTGAAAGGAACGTTGTGTCTGACGATGCTCCAGCGTTTTGCGAACCTGACGAGGCTCTTTGCTACATGTTGAAACAGGTTGGATGACTTGCTTTTTCATATCCATGTTTGCCTAGTTGCTTGACTTATGGAAGTAGAGAACGAAATTGTACAAGGTTTAGACGGATTCACTTTCCTCGCGGGATCTTACTTCTTGATTCCGCTTTTCAAAGATTTGGAAATTGAGGTTACCTTGGTGCGGTGCAAGTAGGAGTAATCGAACGGAGCTAGTAGTTTTCTCGTCGTCGAATTGCTTTCATGGTGCTTTGGCTTTTGGCAAGGTATCTTCGTCTTATAGATTATGTGCAATATCGGTCAATGGAAGACGAGTTACTTTTTTCTGCTGAAATCGAGACCATCAGTAGCCTCTTTCTGCATGAGGACTTGTATAGCTCAATACAACGGCTGTACATCTTGGAGGCTCGCTCGCCATTATACTTGGAGATACTGAAGTCTTATTGTATCATACAAATATGCTTATTTGTGCACGTCACAATTTTTTTACAATACTGTGAACTATGCAGGTTTGAATAATATTAATTTTGCAAGGGAGGGAATGCACGAAGTCTGTACGATAAGAAAAGCCAAAGTGAGGTAGAAGTCGAATTCGAAGATCCGCCAACATGAACGGCAACAACAATCGCATGCGGGTTGGAAAATATGAACTCGGGAAAACTCTTGGAGAAGGCACCTTCGCCAAAGTCAAGTTCGCAAAGAATTTGGATACTGGCGAAAGCGTTGCCATCAAAGTCCTCGATAAGGACAAGATCCTCAAACATAAAATGGTTCAGCAGGTAGCGCACGCTTTGAGCCAATTCACTGCAATTTCAATTTAGATCATACCTTTGTTGATCACAAATTGGCAACTTTGAAGAAATATTTTAGCCAGAGGTTGCTCTCTTGCAATGTGCCTGTATGCTGGGATTCATTGGTCGGCCAGCCTGGAGGAGTATATCACACTTCCGATTTAAGTTCTGAAGTACTCCTGATCATGGTCTATTCCGAAGCATGGTACCACGTGTTCGAGATTTTGCAACAATGGCACCAAGATGTGCAACATATGTGCTGGATTAAAATAGAGCACTGTTTGAATTGCAGATTAAGAGAGAAATATCCACCATGAAGTTGGTGAAGCACCCGTATATTGTGCAGCTTCTGGAGGTTAGCATTTCACCAAACCTTGCGTGTCCGAGTGTCTTATCGATTGCCTTGTGCGTGTACTTGACGATGCGCTATGCAAACTATCGATACTGTTTAAAGATTGTTTTCAAGTACCCTGTTTTATTTTCTAGTATGTGACTTCGTAAATATTTGGGATGACTTTCTGAACCAGGTCATGGCTAGCAAAACAAAAATCTACATTGTGCTGGAGTATGTGACTGGTGGCGAGCTTTTTGATAAAATTGTAAGCACATGGTCCGTTCCAACCTAGGCGTCAGTTGTTCCCGTTCTTTTACGTCCGTTAATTGTGCGTTGTTTTCAATGACCAAGTCTGGACTGTCGACACACGCTGATAGACTTATCGATTGTTGGTGTTATCAGGTTCATCAGAAGCGACTCATAGAGAATGACGCGCGGAGGTACTTTCAGCAGCTCATAGATGCAGTAGATTACTGTCATAGTCGGAACGTGTATCATAGAGATCTCAAGGTACGCAATACAAGCGTATGTGTATCTGCCATGCAATAGCGTATGACACTTCAAGAGTTATAATCATTAAACGTTTCGATATTGAAATGCTGCTAATTATCATTTGCTTCAATTTCTTGACTATTCGGAACCTCAAAAACTAACTCTTCTGTGGGCATTTAACAGCCGGAAAATTTGCTCGTGGACGCAAACGGTAACCTAAAGATCTCAGATTTCGGCTTGAGTGCATTACCTCAACAATGCAGGGTGTGGATTATTCTTCCCGAACCTGACCTTATCTTTGCAGTACCAGAAATTGTTCACAATTTGGAGTTTTGTGACTTGTGGTTGATAAAGTTCTTAGCTTGTATTTTTACCAGAATTTAAACATGAATGCCTATGCAGGCGGATGGTTTGTTACACACAACCTGCGGAACGCCCAATTATGTCGCCCCTGAGGTGATCAACGACAAAGGCTATCATGGAGCCACCGCAGACTTGTGGTCATGTGGCGTTATCCTCTTTGTTCTTATGGCTGGTTACTTACCCTTCGACGAGCAAAACTTGATGACTTTGTACAAGAAGGTGTGAAAGTTTGTCTTGTACATTATATAATACCCCCAGAGAGCACAATGAATGTTATTTGAGCTGGTTTGTGAACTATGATCTTGAATAATTTTTAACTACAGAAATTCTCTATGCCTGCAGATATACCGGGCAGAGTTCACTTGCCCTTCCTTTTTCTCTTCTGGTGCTAGAAGACTAATTATGAAGATTCTGGATCCCAATCCTAAAACTGTGAGTTACAAGTTAACACGCCCTGAAAATAATACTTTGTGGTCTTCCGTAAACTTGAATTGTCCATGTTTGGAGGTCACATCAGGTCCTATCGGCCCAACTAACATTTAAAACCTTACTGCAGCGTATCACAGCTGCACAAATTTACCAAAACGACTGGTTCAAGAAAGGATACTCACCAGCTAAGTTTGACAAAGATATGGATATCAACCTCGACGACATTGATGCTGTTTTCAGCGAGTCCACCGTAAGAACTGTAGAGATGCATTTCATGTGCATTACCTTTCTAATCAAGTGGTGTTCATTAATTGCAATTCAGTATGTAAGAGGATTTGGAACTGCTTAAGAAGTTTAAGAAGACGGTGAAAGTGTATCCTCATGCAAAACACAGCTAAGTGTTGGATGGTTTTGCAATGGTTGTACCTCTTGGGCTTAGAAGTAAATGCATTTTTCTGGGAGCTTTACGTACACGCTACCTTGGCTGCAGGACTACATGGTTACTGAGGAAAGGGGTGTTAAGCCACCCGCAATGAATGCATTTGAGCTTATCTCTCTCTCGCGCGGTCTTAATCTCTCGGGGCTATTTGAAACACGCGAACAGGTAAAAACTTCCTCACTTTGCTTTATATAATGCACCTCGTAGATGAGATGGAGTATTAATGCCATTTCTTGAAAATAATGCTGCAATTTTTCTAAGATTGTGGTCCAGGAATCTAGGATGGTATCAAATTAAGCGAAGAATTGTTTTGAGGAACGCGTTGGTTCATCTTTGCAGGATCGTGGGCCACAGAAAGAATCAAGATTCACGAGCACGAAGCCTGCCAATGAGATTATAAGCACTATCGAGAAGGCTGCTAAGCCTTTAGGTTTCAACGTACAGAAGCGGGATTACAAAATGAAGCTGCAAGCAGACAAGCATGGCAGAAAGGGGCATCTGTCAGTGGCTACTGAGGTTGGTTTATCAGTGGCGATAATAATCTCCAGTACATTTAATCCTGAAAAATTAGGCCTTTTTTATTGGAGTATTATGTCGTAATGATCAGTCTATTAACAAAGGAACTGCCGCAATATGCCAAAAGTAAAATCATAAAACAATTATTGTTTGGTGATGCAACTGTCTGTAGGTTTTTGAGGTCGCACCTTCTCTCTTCATGGTTGAGTTACGAAAGAAAGGAGGAGACACACTGGAATATCATAACGTAAGTATCTATAATACTTCGCATGGTAGTGGTGTAATGCACTAGAGCTTCTAGTTTCTTGGTGTTGTTCGATCATTCATGTCCTTTTCCTGTTCCTTTCTAATGAATTATTACAAAAGTTTAAAAATATGCACGTTTTGTGGCTATATTATAAACCTAATCTGCCTATTCCTTGACTGCAGTTTTACAGAGACCTTTCTAAAGGTCTTCAAGATATTGTTTGGAGATCAGAAAAAGATGGGAATTCCTCTCCAATAAAGTGAAGAAAGTTACTCTTCAGCCAAGGAGGCGATTTACTATTGCTTTTACAGGAAACAAGTTTTCCGTCATTTTCTGCTCTTTTGATATGCACTGTAGGTCATTTCCAGCCCGTTTTGTTTGAGATCCGCCACACTTCTGGATCCATGAGACGTGAAATTTTGTGTCCAAAGCAAGGTGCAGATGGAGCCTAGAATAATTAGCCGATGATGCATCGTCTCTGCATGAGCCTTGAAGGTGATATAGCGGGAGAACATTCGTAGTTGTAACATCGCAGATAATTTCAGCGCGTTTTTCTTCATCGTAAACCTTTTCAGAATACAACTGTCGTTGACTAATTTCGAGACATCTTGTATGAAGTGTATTGACACAACTTGAAAATACTGGATGGTTGTCACCAGGACAACTTGAATTTTAGGGTGCATCCGCTGATGGGTTGAGATGTTCTCCGCGAGTGTATGTTGAAATCATATCGGTCACTCGATTTATTGTTTGACATCTCCCACCAGGATCAGAATTGGCTTCGATGTGTCTGTTTGTCTCCTTTGTAACCCACCCTCTATTTGTTCATAGAAATACCATCAGTGTTGGTAGGAGTTAGTGGTCACAGAGGCAGTCTTTGCAGGGAATAGAGGAACTTCTTTTGAAGCTTTGCGGTACTTTGCTTACTTATCATTGGGGCCCCACTTTCGGCAAGTTTGGTCTCGGTAACAAATTGACGTTCAACTGCAGGTTAACGCTATAGCTGCCTCCATTTCAAAGTTTGGCGGCAGTGAGCTACCGTCAGATGTCCATTGTAGAAGAGAAGCGTGCATAAACTGATAGACTGAGTTATGCGTTAAGTTGGCTAGATTGTAACAACTTCAGTGGGCATTCCTCTCATTTAATACCTTTCATTCGGTACAAAATATGCACTACAACTTGATTAATCGAAATTGGCAACATCGGTACCGGGAAGCAAAATCGGCAGTTGCAATCTCTGGACAGAGCAACGCACATTGTTGACATCCAGATTAACCGATGTCTTGGTAGATATTGTCAGTGGAAAGTTATATATTTCAGCGTCTTCCGGATTCAGTGTTGGAAGTTGGTGAAAATGAAGCCTTAGCTCTACATTTGCAAAGCCTCGTCTTACTTCACACTTGACTGGCGAAAATTCTAGATGCGTACTCGGCTGGAATGTGGACGGGTAGCTCGTGAAAGTGTGGCAGACTGCAGAGAACAAGAAAGTGACCAATGTTTCCACTACCGTTAAACGAAGAAACCAGCATCTAGTGTGCTGCCTAGCGAATCGTATCTGACGGAGTTCAGAGATTCCAAATACTGAGTGGGGGCTCCAGAGGCTCAGCGCAAGTTAACAGTAACATTGTCTTGCGCTGTTAATAGTAACTCAATTCTTAAAAGCATGGTAGTCAATCAATATAAAGCAGGAATATTGAGTGAAACTACCTTCAAAACGGGCATTAGAGATTTGATCAAGTCCTGGAAGAACAAACCATAACCTCTTAGTCAAATAACCGTATACAACAATTAGATGTCAATATCCTCCACACCTAATTCATAAATGTAGCTGAAGTGCTTTCATGACCTCCACTACATCTAAGCAACGAGAGTGCTGGCGGTGGCGGACTCGCTGCAAAATCGAAGAAATCAGTATCAGTACATATCTTACACAAAATTCGAAGAAAGAGCAACACATTGCCCTTATGAATGAACAATCATTTAGCCAATAGAGAAATCTATGAACCAGCAACTAAAATATCTACTCAATAATACCTCAAGCCTAGGTAGACCTTTAGCTGACCAAGGTGGGTATGAAGACTTACTACTTCCAGGTAGGAGGAAGCTTCTTGGTGCGCTTGTAGTAACGTGCCAACCTGTGGACACGGCTCTCGATCAAAATCAGACGAAACTTGGAATCCTTGTCCTTGCGGTTCCTCTCCAAATGTTTGCGCACGGCCACAGCCTTCTTGATCAAGTGGTATAAATCCTCGGGGATCTCAGGGCCCAAACCTGCAAATCAGATGCACTCCCCGTTAACCCCCGGCAAATCCTACTGTAGTTCGGAACCCTAAACCCTAAAATCTGGCAGCTCGTTATGTCAAAACCCCTTTACATAACAAATTTCAATTCTCACTAGTGTCACGTTAGACATACAAATCCAAATAGAATGGCAGAAACATATACCGTGGCCCTTGAGAATACGCAGCACCTTGCTTCCAGTTACGCTGTTGACCTGGGCAATCCCATGCGAGTCCCTCAGAATTACACCAATCTGAGAAGGGGTCAAACCCTTTTTGGCGAGTTTGCAGATGTGCTCCTCCACCTCGGCAGTGGTGATCTTCAACCACGAGGGTGGGGACCTCTTGTACGGCAGAGCCGACGAGGACATACCTTTCCTGTCAACCCACTCAGGCAATAACTTCAAGCACCAACCTCACGCACCGTAACAAACCCTCGCATGCCGCCCACCCAACTCCTCGAAACCCTAAATCTGACCTCAGCCTCGAGTTCAATGCAACAACACACACTAACGTTTTCAACAGAAACAGAATGCGAATCAAAGCCAAACGGGCTCACCCAGAACTGTGCATGCGCCCCATGATGGCGAGCTAGATCGGTACAGGCTGACGCCGATCGCAGGGGAAGGCGGAGCTGAGTGTGAGCAAATTGCCAGCGAGCGAGAGACACACCTCCAACGCCGTCGAGCCATATGAGCTCTTCTCCACTCTCTCGACGAATGACTTTGTGTCGATGAGCATCGTCACCCGTGGATGAACTCTCAAAACTCGTAGAACGATGTCAATACTTGTCTATAATTGAAGAATGTACCTACCAATGAAGTAGGAAGAAGCTACATCGATGTATTGCGAGCTTTTAGACAAAATGTTATTATTAAAACCTTTGGATTTTATTTTAATTTTTATAAGATTTCTTTTGATATCTTTACAATTTCCACCAAGCAAGAGACTTATTGCTAACGTAATTGAGCCATATGAGCTCTTTTCCACTCTATCGATGAATGATTTTGTGTTGATGAGCATTGTCACTCATGGTTGAATTCAAAACTTGTTGAACGATGTCTATACTTATCTATAATTGAAGAATGAAGTAGGATGAAGTTACATCAATGAATTGTGAATTTTAGACAAAGAAGACGTTATTTTCAAAACCTTTTGGAGTTTATTTTAATTTTATAAGATTTCTTTTGATATCTTTAAGGTTTAATTAATTTTTCTTGTAATTGATTAAGTTTTACTTAAAATTAAAAATAATATAATAAGATTTTTTACATTGTTTAAGATTACCAAGATATTTTTAAACACCTTATTCATTGTTTTTTTTGCATGTGAATCCAACTTCAAAGTAAGATCAAATTCTATTATAGTTAAATGTCAAGTGCATAACCAAGATAATTTTTACATAACACAAATTTTTATTTGCTATTAAGAACAAAAACTCAATGAATGAAAATAAATAAGTGAGATTTTTTTTAATAAAAGATGGAAAAATAGAAATAATTAAATATGTATATTAAAAAAGAGACTATAATTTCTATTGTCAAAAAATAAAAAATATAGAGACTCTTGAAACTAGATTAGAAGTAAGAAATGAGTTGACAAGAGTGAAGAAGACTTTATTCTCACTTCTATATATACTATTTAAGTAAGAGTTATATGGCGACATTCTATAAGACCTCCAACACTTGTCCAATTTACAAGACTCATGTCTTGATTTACAAGACAAGTTTCTTTTACATATGCTAGATGATTAGCTTGTATTACAAGCTACCAAGACATGTGATATGTGGCTAAATTTTTAGCCAAATATTTAACCTATTAATCAACTATAAACACATATAAAAGTGAAACTGAATTTATGAAAATTCTTTATAAGATAATATCAAACTATTCTACTTTTACTTACTTCTACTTATTTATATTATTTAGATAACTATTGAAAAAAATATGTATGTCCATGATACCACCTTCTCTTTTAGAGACAAGTTCTTTGAAGAATTGCAATCACATATTAAAAAAGTCTAAGATGCAAAAAATTATATTTGCCACATACTTTGATCTTTATTTCGTTCAAAGTTTATTTTTACCATCTATAATATCTCATTCTAAGGTGGAAAAACTACCATAATATTTGATCATTATTGAGGACTTTGTAACTTCTTTCAAACAAAAAAATTATAACACCATCAAGACTCCTTATTTCTAGTAAAATCACCAAATACCAAAATTCTCTTTTAAGATTATGATAACAAATCTGTTGTATCTTGCCATCTATTTAAGAAAAAACATGTCATTCTTGAAGGTCTTTATTTCTATTATGTTGTCTTGAAGGCTTTTACAATTTTAATATCTTATCCAATAAGTTAGCAAACAATAATTCTTGAATTGAATCCATTGGTTGTTGATTTTTTATCTTGCTAGTACTACTAACATAAAAAAATCACATTAAAAAATAGAAGATGGAATGTAATTTTTTTTTTTGAACTATATTTTTTTTATAACAAAGATTTGTTATTTTTTTATCTTAATTTTGATAGATGTCGTTGATTAAAAGCCTTAATATTTTATGATGCATTTATAAGGTTCTTTGTTAGCTTCTATATGCAGTCACTAATATTATATCTATACCAATGAATAAGATATTTCAACCTATTTTGACACTACCTTGAGTCTAAAACTTCTTCCACCTTGAATTCTTGATTATTACTTATTTCTATAAAAGATGGTAGTATTTATCTTCTTCTTAAGATATTCATTATCTTATATGGCTCAAAAAGAGACATATGAAATACGAGATGGATCTTTGTAGGCTCTGATCAATATAATTAATAAGTAATTGGATTGTTTGCTTCACATATAAGAAATGGTCCAAGCCTATGGTAATCCAACTCATTACAAAGGCAACTAATCTTGATATTACAAAGAAATAACCATACCTAATTGCCAATATGAAATTGAGGTTGTTCTTTGAGATAGGCATTTGCATTGGTTTTTTATCATTCTTAAGTTTTTTTTAATTTTTCCTTTATTATTGTATGTAGCTCAAATAAAAAATTTGTCAAAACTTCTACCATAGGATTATCAACTTTTAAAAAATTAAAAGCATCAAGTCATGGATGATAACCATTATTAATAAAATAAAATATTTGTTGAATAGAACAATGTATTGTGTTATTATAAGCAAATTTTTTCAATGGTAAAAGACTTATTCAATCATCTTCTTAGTAATTGATAGCACACCTCAAATACTACTCAAAAACTTGATTTATATTCTCCATTTGTCTATTGATTTGAGAATAAAAAACCAAAGATAATTTTATATCCACGTTAGAATCTTGAAAAGAGTTCTCTAAAATCTTGATACAAATTGAATCCCCTTATCAAATATAATATCTTTGGACAATCCATGATAGTAATAAATATTTTTAAAGAAGAACTTAGTTGTTTCTTCACATGTGATAGATTTTTTACATAATACAAAATATGTCATCTTTGTAAAATAATCTACTATCATAAATATAGAATCATAAGAATATGAGATTGGAAGTTTTATGATAAAATATATAGAAATAAAAGACCATGGTTGTTCAAGAATATGTAATGGTTGAAGAAGTCCATAAGATCAATGACAAGGAATTTTTAATCCTGAACATCACATAATTATATAAAGTCTTTGACTACCTTTATATTTGAAGGCACCAAAAACCTTTAGATAGTAATTGTAAAGTCTTGTTACATCCAAAATGACATGCTAGTGGAAAATTATGATAAGCTTAAAGAATAAATATTCGTGCTTCACCTTTTGAAATATACAAGTGCTCTTTAAAATAGAGTAAATTGTTTTTGAATTCAAACTTGAAAGGATCATGAGATTTTGAGGAATTATTCTTAATATTACAAACAAGAGAATTGGATGATATGTTTGATTAAACTTGCTTAAAAAAAATAGAATCAAATATCAAGCACCTAATTATAGAAGCTAAATAAAAATATAACATTAAAATCCTACCATATCTAATAGAATCTTAAATAAACTTCAAGTAATCTTTAACAACCCTAATCAAATTTTAATCAATCTAAATGTTTTTAAAGAAATTATTAAAAAAATACAAAAAAGTCATAAATTAATTTTAAAGAAAAATAATAAAAATATCATAAAAAATATATAAAATAAAAACTTAAAAAATAATAATAAAATTAAAGAATTAAAATATATAAAATTTTAAAAAATAATAGATAATCTTTTTAAATACTAAAAATAAAAATCTTAAATAAATCTCAAATTATTTTTAATTAAATTTTAATTAAAACTTTAAAAAATCCCAATAAAATCTTAGATCAAATTCTAACTAAATCTTAATTGAATCTTTAATAAATCTTAGACCAATTCTTAATCAAATCTTAATAAAATCTTAATAAAATTATAAATTCTAACCAAATTTTAAACTTTAGACCAACTCTAATGAAATCCTAATCAAATTTTAGATCAATGCTAATTAAATCTTAATAAAATATTAAACCAAATTCTAAATCTTAACCAAATTCTAATAAAATTCTAAACAATCTCAAAAAAATCCCAAGTAAATCTTAATCAATTACTATAGCTATTTGAAACCTCAATTAATATTAATTGAATTGTCGATTTTAACTAAAATTTCACCTAGACTTCTATCAAAAAGCAATTAACAAGCATACAAAATTTACAAAGAATCAAATTCACCAATTATAAAAAAAAACTCCTAAAACCTCTCAAATATTGATTTTCTTCCTTTTCCAATTCATGTATTGATCTTTCAACAAAGATTTCTCCTTTCTAAACCATTCAATTGCTTCAAAAATTGAGTTATGTTTAGGTATTCAAATTTAAATGTCTTTCACCAAATTCTGCTTCAATCAAATTGAAAAAAAAAAATTCAAATAGCAAAAACTCTCATTAATCTTAAATTTCAATTATCTATGATTTATAATCCACAAAATCTTTGATAACATTCAATTTCAACACTTGATTGATATAAAAAATTTCACACACATTTACAACAAGCACAATGACAATTTAACAAATATTTACTTATAAATAAGCTACAAAATTTATAAAATCATAAAATTTATAAATTTTTTTTTATTTGTCAAAATCTAAACCAATCGAGTTTATCTCTAATTTAGAAAAGTCTTCAAAACTTTAATATTTATCTAAATAATATGAAACCAATTTTCAAAAATATCTTTTTAAGTTTGCTCTAAAATTCTTCTATCTGATTGACAAAGGAACTATGGAATTGCTATAGGTATATAATTTTTGATAATTTGAGGTAATTTTTACTTTAAATTATTATTTATTATTTTTTAATATTCCTATATCAATTTCTTATCTCATTTATTTTGATTTGTCTTATTTATGTTTCTACAAAGTAAATAAAAGTTCTTTCTATAAAAAATAATATTAAGACTAAAAATTTTACTACCTTCTTATTATTTATCTTTATTTTTTTACTACATCTTTTTATTAGACTCTTCTATAATAACATCTACATTTTTATTTTTTAATATATAGTCGTCTTACCACATAACAACATGTGACACATGATTAACTAGTTGGGCAAGTCTTCAACCTATTAATCACCTATAGACATGTATAAAAGTGAAATTGTGTCTATGAAGCTTCTAGGAAGCTATTCTATAAGATATAATTAAATTAATCTATTTTTACCTACTTC